AAAGACAAGGACAAGGACAAGGACAAGGACAAGGACAAGGACAAGGACAAGGACAAGGACAAGGACAAGAACAAGGACAAGGACGATGACAAGGACAAGGAAAAGAACAAAGACAAGGACAAGGACAAGGAGAGAGTTTTTGACAGCAAAGATGAATTCAAGAATGGAGGAGAAAAGTTAGAGTATAAAAGAAATTACCAGCGGAGCTTCATTAATTATTTGAGCTAACCTAGGATGAAAGGAAATAAATAAAATGGAGAGACGGAAAGAGTGGATGGATTAAAGAATCCAATATAGATGAATTGATAGATGAGTAAAATAACAAAGATTTGGTGAGCGAAGAAAAGAAAACTATGGGAGAGTTTTATCCTAAATATTCATGAGAAAAACAAGACTAGGAGAATAGAAAATATCAAAAATGAAGATAATTGTAAATTTCAAATTCGACGTTTATGATGTTAAACTTTTATTGGTCTATATATTTGTACTTTTAGACGTTTCTTAGTCTTATGTATGTATCATTTGATGTTTGTTGGTCTTATTTTTGTATCATTCGACGTTTGTTGGTCTTATGTTTGTATCATTCGACGTTTGTTGGTCTGATATTTGTATCATTCAACGTTTTTTAGCTTGATATTTTTACTTCTCGACGTTTGTTTGTCTGATTTTTGTATCATTCGACGTTTATTGGTCTGATGTTTGTATTATTCAACGTTTATTGGTCTGATGTTTGTATTATTCGACGTTTATTAATTTGATATTTGTATCATTCGACGTTTCTTGGTCTGATGTTTGCATCATTCGACGTTCATTGGTCTGATATTTGTACTTTTCGACGTTTATTGGTCTGATATTTGTACTTTTCGACGTATCTTGGTCTGATGGTTGTATCATTCGACGTTTATTAATTTTATATTTGTATCATTCGACATTTCTTGGTCTGATGTTTGTATCATTCGACGTAAATTGGTCTGATATTTGTACTTTTCGACGTTTATTGGTCTGATATTTGAACTTTTCGACGTATCTTGGTCTGATGGTTGTATCATTTCACTTTTTTGCGTTAAGTACGTACAATTTGTAGGAATTACTGTGTAAAGGAATCGAGTCTTTGTAACAAAATCTGATTTTCTAATATCAATATTTTTTCCACCAAATGGTGTAAACCTTTGATATTTCAAACTTAGATTCTTTCCTCTAACAGAATTCATAGTTTGAATTCTAAGGTCTACGGCATTGAATTACAAAGATATAGAGATTAGAATATCATAGTTTGTGACAAAGACTCAATTCCTGTCTTGGTCTGATGTATGTATATACTCTTCAACGTGTGTTAGTTTCAAGGAAAATACACCATATTTCTCCATATCTTCGTTTGTAAAAGAAGTTTACTATAGATTTTTTGGCATACAGATTAACAAAACCAAGTCTGAGCATTAATCATTGAATTTGTTTGTAAACAATGTGGTTTCCTAGCATATCCGTCCCTTGACAGGTTTAAGGGTTTCACCTTCTGATGGTTATCCTATTATTACGGAAAGCAACGCAATATATCCATAACATTCTTTTTTTAAATGAAGAGAATGCTATGAAAATGATATGTTTGAAGTTTTACAGATAAGTAATGAAGAAGTGTAACAATGTATAGCATAATGATAATAGAAAAATTCAAATAAATAGAAGATCGTAATAAAGTTCAAAGAATAAACTGACAAAATGGAAGAATCAATTATCGCAGGATCACGGCTAATGAGAAGAACCGTAGTAGGATCACGATGAAAGGATAAAGGATCGTACAATCAGAATGTAAGGTTGAATGATCGTAGAATCAGGATGGAAGGATAAAGGATCGTAGAATCAAGATGGAATGACGAAGGCTGGAAGGATTAGAATGCTAGGATGCAGGATCGTAGGATGAGGTTGGAAGGATGAAGGATCGTAGGATCGATGTTGATAAAACTATTTCAGGATCCGTTGGAGAGAAGATATCACAAGTATTACCAATGGGTCTGTTTCTGCTTATTCTTTCAGGTAGAATTTCAATCTCTCTAACCCAGTATTTAATTATTTTTACTATTTTCAGAAAACCTTCCAATAACCCTTCCATTCCTCCCCCCCNCATAAAAACTTTGAATATCTCCTTCCTTCTAATATCCCCTCTCCTATACCTCTTAATATCATCTGATGTTTTGAAAATGGATTTCTAGTTCCAATTTCCTTTTTCATAACTTGTGCATTTCAACCTGCAGCTCTGAACTAGAACTCTAAACCCAATTCAACCTGCAGAATCACGGATTGGATGGAAGTGGGGAAATCTAATATTAATCTAATCTGTCACTAGAAATGCAGGGAAAAAAAGAAAAACTTTAGAATTGTTGGGTTCGATGTTGAATATTCTAAAACATCTGTTTGCTTCTTTTTTACAAAGTTTTGTAAGGGAAGAACTCTCTTAACTCAAGTTAATTATTGGAGACATGTTCGGAGTCAAGAATACATTTTGTTAATTTACAAACTAATATGTATCCACTCAACTCACATATATATTCTTTTATTTGGAACCAGGACTAGTCTATAGGACTGGACATCATTGATCAGGACTAGAGGGATATTGATCAGGACTGGAAGGATATTGATCAAGACTGAAAGGATATTGATCAAGACTAGGAGAATATTGATCAAAGATGGAAGGATATTGATCAGAACTAGAGGGATATTGATCAGGACTAGAAGGATATGGATCAGAACTAGAGGGATATTGATCAAGTCTAGAAGGATATTGATCAAGAATAGAAGGATATTGTTCAAGAATAGGTGGATATTTATCAGGACTAGTAGGATATTGATCAGGACTAGTAGGATATTGATCAGGACTAGAAGGATATTAATCAGGACTAGTGGGATATTGATCAGGACTAGAGGATATTAATCAGGACTAGTGGAATATTGATCAGGACTAGAAGAATATTATCAGGACTAGAAGGATATTAATCAGGACTAGTGGGATATTGATCAGGACTAGAAGGATATTAATCAGGACTAGTGGAATATTGATCAGGACTAGAAGAATATTAGTCAGGACTAGTGGGATATTGATCAGGACTAGAAGGATATTGATCAGGACTAGAAGGATATTAGTCAGGACTAGTGGGATATTAATCAGGACTAGAAGGATATTAATCAGGACTAGAAGGATAGTAATCAGGACTAGAAGGATATTAGTCAGGACTAGTAGGATATTGATCAGGACTAGAAGGATATTAATCAGGACTAGTGAAATATTGATCAGGACTGGGAGGATATTGATCAGGACTAGAAGGATATTAATCAGGACTAGTGAAATATTGATCAGGACTAGGAGGATATTGATCAGGACTAGTGGAATATTGATCAGGACGAGGAGGATATTGATCAGGACTAGTGGGATATTGATCAGGACTAGTGAAATATTGATCAGGACTAGAAGGATGTTAATCAGGACTAGTGGAATATTGATCAGGACTAGGAGGATATTGATCAGGATTAGTAAAAATAAAACAAAATATAAAAATATATTCAAGAATCCGGATTTCGCATAATTGAGATTTTAAACTTTCCATGAAAATGCCAAGATAATATTTCTTTTAATAAAGTTAATCTCCGGTTTAGATCCTAGTCCTTGTCTTCCTGGTTAGAATATATTCAAGGAGTCTGATATAGAGTAATCCAATCTATCCGGAGCTAATAGAACAAAGAACGGAATTCTCTTTTGTGGTAAAGTTCCTTGTTGGAGAAGCTTACATTAACCATCCTTACTCATCTAGTTCTCACTTAATTAGCTAGGAGCAGGTTTAGAATCAAGATTTAGGTTTACGACTGTTTCCGGGGGAGAGTACAAAATATTTTAAAGAGATTTGGATTATTACTGTATCCAGGTGCTGGTTTACGACTGTTTAAAGACGTAGGTTTAACTTAGTATCCAGAGATAATTTAGCACTTTATTTAGAGGAAGGTTAGAACTTTATTCTTTTCTGATTTCGTAATGTATTTCGGTACAGGTCTTTATGCGATTTATCCAGGAGGAGTTTAGCACTGTATGTATCCAGTTGCAGGTTTAGCACTGGGTCCATGGGCTGGTTTCAGACTTTATCAAGTTATTAATACTTTGAGATTATACAGAAATTTTTTATCCATAATGAATTGTTTTGTTCTCTGCACGCTTTTAAGCAAAGAGTAGCAAGCTAAAAGGAAACTGACTTTAGGCTAATTTGTGCAAAAAGTATAAAATCTTTTTGTTCATATAAATTTTGAACCTTTGAAACTCGCGCCCCATCCCTTCCTTTCCTTCTAGCACACGCTTAAACTGAAGAATATATTTAAATATTTAAATCAGAACTTGAAAGGATTAAAGTGTAGGGCTAGACTCTGCTCAAGTCCCCGGAGAATAGACCCGGAGTTCTGCGGTTTTATTCCAAACCAGGCTCACCCAGCTTATTAGAACGGGAAGTAGTAATATGGATTGATTATCAGCGGAAGTAATATGAAAACTTTTCATTAGTCAGCAAGGTTGTGGGATAAGTTTCCCCATTTTGCAAAATAAAGTGTATCACATTGGTCCAACTCAGGAAACGATCAAAATGGTACGAAATCCGAATGTAATAAAGGAAATCCGAATGTTATAAAGGAAATCCAAATGTAATAAAGGAAATCCAAATGTAATCAAAAATGTGATACATCTGTTTTGATCCCAAGTGAAATTGCTGAAAAATGGAGCGCAGAGACACCAAGCTGTCACAATCGTTGTTTAAAGTACATAAAATAGAAAAATAGATATATGAAGTGAAATATCAACTATATACGAATGCATCGAATTGAATTCGACGTTTATAGGTTGTAATATCTGAAATGATTAGTTTTAAATTCAATCGAATTATATAAAATCTGGTGGAATAATGTAACTCTGTGAATTTAGGATAAGCTCTTGGGTTTTATGAATGTTTTAAAACATTTTCTCTTTAAATACCCAACATATAAAAATAAAATTAGTATCGATCTATATCGAATTCAATTCGATATTCGCATGTACCCAGTTTCATTTTTCGCGAACATTCCCTTTCATATTTGTTTTAAGTAAAAGATTACAAATAACTATTAATAAAGTAACCTAAAGCTCTGCCAGAAATATGGCATAAACACATAGTTCCGCTGGATAAATGGATATATATGTATACACAAATATACAAATCATACACTTTGTGCACTGTCGTGGGTTCTTTGAAGAAATGCTTTGTGCACTGTTTAAAAGAGAATTTCGAAAGGAATTAAGTTTTTACCAAAAACTCTAATTTTCTAATCTCTATATCTTTGCAATCCAATGTCGTGGACCTTTGATATTTCAAAATATGAATTTTGAAAGATCCAGTATTTGAAGTTTGAAATACCAAAGTTTTAAACCATATCAGCTTGCAAAAATATATGAATAAGAAAATTTAAAATTCAAATTAATTAAAATTTGAATCAAAGCCTAAACTGACACCTAAATAAGTATTCTGCAGGCAAACTAAATATTGAAGGTTTGGTAAATATTGTTGAAACTAGATGGAGCTTCAAGGCACGCAATTTTATAAAACAATTCACGGAACTTTTGGCAAAACTAGATTTTTCAGCTTTTATTCGAGGATTAGGAAGAAAATTTTCATCTTAATAATTTTAATGGAAAGCTTAATTTACTTAAAGTATAGTTCGCCCAAATAGAATATCATTTTTTTTAATGAGAAATCAAGAATTTTCATTGTTCACAAAATATCTTTAAACTGAACCTAGAGAGATTTATCTGGGTTCGGAAAATTTGGTAAATGTATTGCCCACAAAATTAGTCCTTAACTGCCATTCATTAGTTAACCAGTACTAGGATACTAGGATACTAGGATACTAGGATACTTTAATACTTGGATACTAAGATACTAGAATACCAGGATACTATAATACTTGGATACTAAGATACTAGGATACTAGGTTACTATAATACTTGGATACTAAGATACTAGGATACAAGGATACTTTAATACTTGGATACTAAGATGCTAGGATACTAGGATACTATAATACTTGGATACTAGGTTACTAGGATACTAGGTTACTAGGATACATATGATACTAAGATACTAGGAAACTAGGATACAAACGATACTAGGATACTAGGATACTATAATACTTGGATACTAAGATACTAGGATACTAGGTTACTAGGATACATATGATACTAAGATACTAGGATTCTATGATACATATGATAATAGGATACTTGGATACTAGAATACTAGGATACTAGGGTACTAGGATACCAGAATACTAGGATATTTGGATACTATACGATACTGGGATTCTAGGATACCAGCATACTAGGATACCAGAATATTAGGATACTAGGATACTAGGATACCAAAATACTAGGATACCAGAATATTAGGATACTAGGATACTAGGATATTAGGATACTAGGATACCAAGATACTAGGATAACAAAAAACTAAGATACCAGAATACTTAAGATATTTGAATACTATGATACTAGGATATACTAGGATTCTAGGATACTAGGATACTAGAAAACTGAGATCTAGGGATACTATGGGATACTAAGCTATGATGATAATATTGTAACACTTTGTATCCAGAGTGATAAGGCAATATAAAACTATTTCTATACTACAAGGATCAATGTGTGTTAGATATCTGTAAACCAGCCGAAGACCGCGCAGAATATAAATTCACATCAATGTATTCTTTTTTCAACAAAAAGGACAAAAAAAGGGAAGTAAGCCAACTTGAAATATTGAGGAAATCTAAGAGAGAACATTAGTTTAGTTGGAAGGTCTATGCATAAGAATTGTAATGAATTGTAGGATTGAAATTAAGATCTGTTTAGCCAAGTTTAATTAGTGTTTACAAGTTTTTAATCAGTCTGTTTAACTCAGTAAATTAGAACGAAGTTATATCTAGTAGTATTGGTCAGGGATCAAGGATGGATATCAGGGATGGATATCAGGGATGGATATCAGGGATGGATATCATGGATGGATATCAGGGATGGATATCAGGGATGGATATCAGGGATGGATATCAGGGATGGATATAAGGGATGGATATCAGGGATGGATATCAGGGATGGATATCATGGATGGATTTCAGGGTTTGATAAAAAAGAAAAGATAAGATGTATTGTCTGATATATGGCTAGGTCTAATACTCCGGGTTCCCTGAAGGTAGAAAAGTGTGTGAATGGAGAGTATATATTGAGACTAGAGTGCTATATTTAAGGATATGAACCTTGAAGACGAAAAGAAAAAGGTTTTAGGAGAAGGGAGGAAAGGGGGGGGGGTAGACTCAGGAAAAATAATAAGTATTGCATTGTATATATGTTTGAAGGGGGGTTGGGGGTTTAGGAGGTGAAAGGTATAATATTGAGAACTGGGAAAAGAATACATAATTAAGAAATGAATGAATATAAAGAACAAAACTTTTGGCTTCATTTTCCCCTTTTCTGATTCTATAACAATGAACACAGACAGTTCTGATACTCATAAAAAGAATGTGAAGGTTGTTTTTCAACGTTAGTATGACAGTACCAAACTTATTCACCGAAGAGCATCCCGTTATCTAAAAAACATCCTAAACTTTCATATCAACCTCATTTGCGGCTTAATGTCAAATATATACTTTTGATCGAATCTAATAAACCTTCATTAAAATTCCCTAAAAAAGGTCGAATCAAGAAAAGAATGATTTCTAACAGATTTTTATGAGGGTGTAACAAACGTTATAAAAGAATTATCTATCATGTTTTTTGTCCGAAACACACGAGGGAAAAATAGTTTCAAAGTGAGAATCCGTTTTCTTTAGGGGGCCAAGTTAAGACATAATTTTTTGTATTGAAACTTACTGACACATCCCCTTCTATAATCTATATATAGTAGTATACTAGGCTTTTAGGGAGCTATAATTAAACAATAACAAACAAGTTTGCAGATTTAATAATATTTTTCGCGCATTTTCAAAATTTAGCAAAAATCAAAAACTATTGGAAACTCATTTTTGTAATTTTGAGCATCCATAAACCTTCCCTGGGGTTATGTGAGCTCCCACACAAAATTTGGGCCCGATCGGTTCAACGGTTTTGACTTTTATTGGAAACAAGCGAACAGACAAACAGACAATAAACGTCAAACCGGCTAACCCGATCCGGCCCAATTTTTTGTGGGACCTTACCTAACCCAAGGGAAGATTTATGAATGGTCAGAGTTGAAAAATTTGCCTTAAAAACATCGAAATCGGTGGAAACTTAAGTTAATAATATTTGTGGTTTCAGGCGATATTATTCTATATTCCTCGCTGGTTGTGGAAGAACTGGGAGGCTGGTAAGGTATCTGCTCTAAGGATGGATTTAAACCTGGGAATTATCTCAGACGTGGAGAAAAAGCTAAAGAAGAAACTGTTAATAGATTATCTTTACTCCAACCTCAAACATCACAACTTTTGGGCATATCGATACTTCTTCTGCGAGTTCCTAGCTTTACTTAATGTATCAGGTAGAAACAACTTTACACAATTTAAAGGGACTGTATCGTAATTTCAGCAGATCCTTCATTTCAAATTTACAACGTTACCACTCAAAGTTTTGTCTAATTAAGAGTGTGATATCTTCCACATTTTTAACAGATAAAGGTTTAAAGGGTATTATTCAAAGAGAATAGAATATATATTAGAGTGGAATTTACTAGAAAAAAAGTGTAAAACGGCCATTTTGTTGTACTGTTTCCATACTGCAGGTGTACTTCACATATTTGTGCTATTTAACCTTTTGGGCCCTGGAACATCATTTCATAGAAAATCTAAAATTAATATTAAAAGAAAACCAAATTATGAAATATGCTGGTTTTATAATCGACCAATGATTATTTCACATAGACTCTGTGCCTTTCACTTTAAAAACGATGTTTTTCCGTTATAACTATAAATCAAATGATGTTTTTTATTCACCTAATTCATTTCATAAAGTTTATTTAACAGCTTTAAAAAGTTCGAAATTGAAATGGATAGTCTAGGGAACATACTGTATTAATGTACTATATTACATATAATTTGTGAATATTTACATGATTTGTACACTTTGAACTCCCTTTCAGGCTGAACGGGAATGACAAAATTCATACCAAGGGATTGACTAAATTCCACTCTAACACATATTCTATTCTCTTTGGTAATACTGTTATTCGGGCCTGGTCCTCATTAAATGTAAGATTCATTCAAATTATAAACTACACTTCCTTAAAGTTAACAATAATGTATCAAGTAGGTTCAACATTTATCCAGTTATCGATAATTTATCAGAAATCGGAATTTTTCACTAATCTATAGCGTCTGAACTCGATACCAACAGTGGAAAATGTAATTTATAATGATAAAATTACCCTTTTAAGTTCTGTCTGTTCTATCTGTTCTATCTGTTCTATCTGTTCTATCTGTTCTATCTGTTCTGTCTGTTCTATCTGTTTTTATCTGTTTTTATCTGTTCTATCTGTTCTATCTATTCTACTGTTCCATCTGTTCTATATGTTCTATCTGTTCTATCTGTTCTATCTGTTCTATCTGTTCTATCTGCTCTATCTGTTCTATCTGTTCTATCTGTTCTATCTGTTCTATCTGTTCTAT